CAACGCAGAGTACTAGGTATATCTGGTGATGTACAAAAGAGAGAGCAAAGACGTACAAACATAAAAAAAAGCTATTGAAGCTTTAAAAATAGAGTTTGAAGAATTTAAAATTGATGATGATGATATATTAAAAGACAAAAATTATACTTTAGATAAAGTAAAATTTGCAAGGCCTGGTACGTTTTCAGATACTGAAACTGAAAGATCGAGTCAAACTGTATTTGATTTAAGTACATTAAAACTTGATGCTGATAGTATTCTTAGAGGTTTTTCAGAAAGTGGTACTTGGGAAGAAGGCGGTGCATTAGAACAAGATGTTGTTACCAAACTAATTAAAGATTATGTAAATCTTGTAAATGATGAAATGGGTAAATATGTTAAAGAACCTAGAGATGCTCAAGCTGATGCTTTTAGAAATGCATTCGATGAAGCAGGAGATAGAATAAATGGCTTAGGTTCAGAATTTATAGGTGAAGGCCGTGTGAGTAATAAATCTTTAGGTTCTAGTTTATGGAAACTAGAATTATATAATTTTATATTTAAAAAACCATTGATTGTAATGGTAACTTCATGGACTGCTACACCATCAAAAGAAATGTTTGGAACATCACATGTGTATTATGAATTTGATGTTGCTGTAAAATTAGATCAAATAAATTCTGGTCAAACTTGGCATGGTATATTTGGTAATTAGAATTATCTTAATATACTTTTTAATTTATCTGATGATAATTTAGTATTAGTAGCTACTGTTACTTCAAAATCACAATATAAAGGCATACCTATAGAATTGCTTGATGATTTAACCATTTGCATTGAAGGTATAAATGACCAAGATTCTACAACCCAATCTATTTCTGGGTTCATTTTAATATAATCACCAACTTGTAACAAGCATGTAACTTGAGAACGTGATGATGTTGCCAATTGTGTTAATCTATCTTCTATTCCTTGCATAACACCAGCAACGTCATTTAATACAGACCAATTCAAACGGCCGTTTTCTTCCATTGAATTTAATTGATTACCAACAGTTTCACCAGCTTGTTTAGCGTTTGTTAATGCTTCTTGTATATTAGTAAATTCAGTTCTAATACTAAAATCTGTTAGTGGTGATGTAATATAAGTTAACCACGGAATTAATGTCAAATATGAAGTAGTATTTGCAAAATTACCTTCAGTATAAGCTCTAAACTTTAATGTAACAGATAAACCAGCACCTTCTTTAGGATATTGCTGTGTCCATTGACCTGTAGCTGGATTTGAATTATATCCTCTTCCACTAAATAATTTGAAAGCTTCTGCTGAAGTAAATTCTTTAATTTTTGATGCTAAGGCTGCACCTGGTCCATCATCCCATGAAACACTATATGAAATAGAATTTACATCATCACAGATACCATGAATTTCATTTATCATTTTTCCATGTATTGATTGAAATTGACTATTAAATAAACCATTCTGTGAAAAACGTAATGAAAAACTACAAGAGCCATATACTGGTGTATTTTTAAAATTAGAAGAATCTTCATCATGATTATAAATTGATAAGCTCATACTAAACTCCTAAAATATTTGTAGAACCATTTTTAGTATTAGCTTCAATTTTATTTAATACATCTAAAATTCTATTAAATACATTTGTACTCATATTATTATCATTTCCAGCAACATTTACATTTACATCAGGTTGAACTGTTTCTGATTGTACTACAGAATCAGTAGTAGTTAATGTAGCATAAGATGTAGTATTTTTATTTTTAGTTTCATTAGTTGCAAACATATTAGATACAAATGCTGCACTATCTTCACCGACAATTACATCTCTTATATCTTCTACATTCTGCTTTACTGATTTCATGAAATCTTTCCATTCATTATCATTATCAGCATTAGCTGCTTTTTTAGGAGTAAATAAACTTACTACAGCAGTAAATCCTAATACTGTCATCAATTTACCAATAGCATTAACTATACTTTCGAAACCTTCTTCTAATACATTTAGTTTTTCTGTTTCCATCATAGTATATAAAGCATTATCTGGACCAGTTTCTTTTTCTTTTTCTTTTTCTTCTGGTTCAGGTGCACCAAATAAACTTAGCAACCATTTAAATGGTGCCATTAATACTGCAAGCACACCACCAATTACTTTAACTACAGAATCAATTAAACCTACAACGAAATCAATTACAGCAGCAATTGGCATAAACACTGCATCTACTAAGTTAGCAAACACATCGAAGATTTTTCCGATTACTTTCATTATTGCGCTGAATATTCTAACTACAATTTTTAATGGTAGTAAAATAAATTTTAAAACAGCACGAATAACAGAAACTAATGGCATAAATACTTCCATTAATGGTTCTAGAATTTCACCTACAATTTCACCAATAGCGCCTAGTAATGTACCTACAGCTTCTAATAAACTACCTACTAAATTAATTACTGGACTTAAAATTGAATATAAATTTTCAAATACTGGTATCAAATGTTTTAGAAGATTTCCTAATAACTTAAATACTACTTTAAATGGAACAATTAATACTTCAAAAATTACACCGACTAATTTAACTATTAGTTTAATTACTTCAGTTAAAAAGTCAAAGACTGGTATAAGAACTGTAAGTACAGTATAAACAGTTTTTCAATATTGCACCTACAGTCGCGAATAAAGGTTCCATTGCTTCAACTATATGTACTAATAACTTTGCTATAGAATCAGCTATACTTTGTAATACAGTTACTATGGCATCTAATACAATTGATATTAGTTTAAATAATGTTGCACCTAATAAACCTACAATGATATATGGCCAGAAAGCCATCATAGCAACACCAATAGCAATCATTACTATTATTTCCATTAATGTTTTAACATAAGGTCCAAAAATATCAATAATAGCTTGGAATACTTCTTTAATAGTACCTATAATTTCTTATAACAATCCAACCTATAAGTTTAACCATTATCAATAACAAACATGCAAAGATCAATACTATAGCAACAACTGCTACAGCAATAAGAATATAAACAGAAATTGATAAAGCTATTTGGAAAGCAACTTTAGCGATTTCTAATGCATGTTGAATAATAGAAGCTAACCATTGGAAAGCTTTGATAGCCATATCTTTAACGAAAGATATAACATCCATTATCATTTTCTTTATATATGTTAACATTCCTGTAGAATGTTCAGTAGCATTAAACACGCTTTTAGTTTTAAATAGTAAGCTAGCACCTTTAAATATAAAATTCATTATATTAGAAGAACCTAACTTAATAAAAGCAATAACAGATACTATAGCTAAACCTATGGCAACTAATTTAGCTTTTACCTTTGCTGATAATTTTGACCACATACCAATAAATAAAGCACCAAAAATTAATACCCATGGCAAAATTTCCATAATGAATGCTGTTACTAACGCAATAGGATTAAATAATGTTTTTAAGATTTTTCCTAATCCGCCCATAAACATCTTCATGTCAAATTTACTATTTTTAGTTTTGGTAGATGCTACTGGTGCTTTTGGTATTAGTTTTAGCTTGTGTTAATGATTTAACTTTATCAGCCTTTATTAAAACTTTGTTCTTTTTCTTGAATAGCTAATGATTTATGAATATCATCTTTTATTGATACTAATGCATTTGTCTGAATTTTTTCAGTATCAATAACTTCAGTAGAAACAGCATTTTGACTTAATGTAGACAATAATGCTGAATTTTCTTTTGCTGATTCTAATGAATTATGATTATCATCTTCTAAATATTTTCAATGACAGCTAACTGTTTACCACTAGCTACTTGTGCTAATTTACGTTCGTCAGAAATTTCATCAATTTTTTCAATTAATTCAGCATAAAATTCATTATCAACATAATGATACATTAGTTCATCATCATGTTGTTCTTTAATTTCTCGTAAAATAAGTGCATTTTGTTTAGCGTTATCAACATTATTTTGTGATAACTTATCTAAAAACAACTTATCCATAGCATTTTGTATTACATTTCCTGCGCCCATAACTTACCTTATCTTATTTATAAGCCATTGGATGATTCCTGGTTTTTCTTCTATATTTGTATCTTTATATCTACGTTTTAGGTTGCATAGATACTGATTCTGTTTCCATAGGCATATTATAATCACAAGTATCTACTTCTACATAATACTTATCTGCTTCTTTTCTTATAGCATTCCTTGTTAATGGACCCATTGATTGACTTACATTATGTGGTTTTTCTTTTACATCATATACGTCATCATCTGCATATAAACGTTTATAATAATCTTGTATACGTTGTTGTTCTTTTAATACTTTATCTTTATGTCGACGAGCTTCGGTTTCTGCTTTTCCTAATGTTCCTGCGTTATTTACAAGTACTGAACAATTTGGACAATAACTTTAACCTGATAAAAGACCATGATAACGAGTTTTTTGTACCACATGTTAAACACTCATCTTCACCAGGTTTCATTATATACTTACGATAATATTCTTCTGCAGTTAAATTATGTTTTGACATATGATGTGATAATAATCGTGATGCTTCTAATTTATTTTTACCAATAAATTCCATATCACAGATTTTACATGATACTGTATATTTGTCACTTTCTTTTACATTTTGTTCAGCATATAAACGACTACAACTAACAGAACAAAAATCTCTATATCCTTCTTTTATCGATCCAAATTTTGTAGGTTTTCCACATTGTTTACATTTACCTTCATTCGGATCTTTCTTTAAATACTTATCATAATATTCGATTTTTGATAAATCATGTTCAAAACGAAGATGCCAACCTAATCGTCTAGGACTAGGTAGTTTAGCACCACAAACTGTACAAACATATTTTAATTCCATTTTCTATTTATATTGTAAACTTTTATTTACAATTGTAATATATTGTAAACTTTATTTTACAATAAAAAGGGTTGACAGATTCCAAAATAATACTTATATTCTACTTGTAAAAATCAAAGAGGTTGAATATGATTATTACTGGTCGTTATAACGGTTATTCACAAGCACTTGACTTAGATAAGATTACTAGAATATATGTCGACAAAGGTTATGTCGATAATGATTATGTTGTCGTAAATGGACTTGGTGATGCAGCTGAACGACTATTTGGTGCATGGGAAATTAACGGCAAAGAACTAGATATTGGTGATGTGACAGATCGCACAGTATTCATGGAGTATGTTGTTAACTATATGGCTTCAAAGAAATAAAATTTTATATTAAGAAGGTTAAATATGTCTAAAGAAGAACTTACTTTGGTTGAACTGTTTGACAAGCATGAAAAGGATTCTATTCCTGGAACTGCATATTTTCAAGCATTGATTGACTTTGCTGAAATTTGTTTCAATACGCCGAAAGCTGAAGGTAAAGAAGTTACAATTGCTGATATTCATTCTTATATTCGTGCAGCATATCGTGTCGGCTTTGAACGTGGTTATAAGGCCGGACGTGAATATGAACAGGAATTAAAGAAGTTAGATAAGGAATAGAACTTATGAATAATCGAGTATACATTGTAGTCGGCCATTTTAAGCATATTGGTAAACAATTCATGGGTACATATTTTTCTAAAGAAAAAGCATTTGAAGCAAAAGAAAAATATGCTTCTTCTGATCGATATAAAAATGTAGAACGATGGGCAGTTGTTGAACAATTTATTCAGGATGCATAGAATATGGTAGATGACTTTGAAGCAAAACAAAAATATCTTGAAACTGAAATTAACATTAAAGAAGACCAAATTAGTGATTTGAATAATATCATAAAGAAATGGAAGCTTAGAGCGTTAAATTATAAAGAAGATTATGATGAAGAATTTGTTAAATTAATGTTTGATATTCCAATTGATAGTTTAATCAAATTAAAACGTGATATGCGGGCGGGAATTGATATGTTGTATGATGCTAAAAATCAGATGATATTTGCAAATAAATTAACTGCCGCCGATTATAAAATCAAATAAGGTATTTATTCAGCAGATAAGTATAGATGGTAAATTATGAATGTAGATGATTTTATAACGTCATTAAAAGAATCTGGAATTGATTGTGATGTAGATAAATATGAATATTTTATTCGACATAGTAATTATGATTATATTTCTATCGAATTAAATCAATTTAAAGATATACCACATCGTACTGTGTTATGTACATATTTTTATAATAACAAAGAAGTAAATATCGCAACAGAACTTGAACCGTATAGGTATGTGCCTGGTGATTCGGATATTGCTTTATATGGCATTTATTTTTGTAGAGTAGCTACAGTTGATAACAATGACGAATTTAAAAGAAGATTAAGTGATCTTAAACAAAAAATTGATAAAGCTGTTGTTGAAATTAAACGAAGAAAAATTTTAAACATAGGAATAGATGAATAATGACTATTGATGAAAAAGATTTATATTGGGCTAAAGAATTAAATAAGCATGATCACAAGATTTTTGAAGTTGAAGTTATCAATACTATTAAGCTTAAATTGATTGAAGTTCTTGGAAATAAATTCTGGAATCTTAAACCGTCATTCCAATCGTATGTATTGCGAGATGGTGGTAAGCGTGCATTGATTGATTTTACATTTGATGCTCTTAATGTTGGATTAGAAGTAGATGAAGGCCATCATAATAATCAAAAAGAAGCTGATGCAAAAAGAGAAATAGATATTTTTGAAGCAATGGCTTCATGTGGTAGATCTAATTTTGAAATTCGCAGAGTAGATGTTACGCACGGATATGAAAAGAAAAAGCACGACATTAATGAATTTTGTGAATTAGTTAAAGCTCGTGTAAAAGAAAATCCTGTATTAAAATGGGATGATGAACCAGGTTATGTAAAATATAAAGTTGGTGACAGTATTAAATTTAAAGATATGTTTGAATTTGTTACTAAATCTGATTTGTTTAATACTTTACTTCATACTACTAAATGGGGCAAAGCAAAACCTGGGCAAAAATCTAAAGTTGAACAAATTTATGAAAAATTTGGTTTAACATGTACAAAATGTTCTATTCAGTCGACTAATCCTGAAAAAGAACTTTCTAAGTTATATCCTAATCAGAAATTTTATATTCGTCGTAAAGATGGTTGGAATTTGAAAGGTGATGCTAATGAAGTAAAAAATCTTTCTAGAGTTTGGTATAATAAATATAGTCCAGATTTTAAAACTATAGATATGTATACAAATGAAGTAGATTATTCTGCCGAAGTTGGTAATAAAAATGAAATTCAACATATCTTCATTGATAAAAATGGATTTGTTGTTTATGTTGGCTCTTATAAAGTAAAAGGTATCTATAAAACAGATGAATGTTTTGATTACAGAAAAAAGAATGTTAAAATGAACTGCTTTATTAGATTAGAAAGAGTTGATGATAAAATAAAAATTAAATAGGAATAATTAATGTCAGCTGATGTACTTAAAACACTTGGAGCATCTAATCATTGCTCAGAAGAAAGAGAAGAAAATGATTTCTACGCAACTAATCCTAAAGACGTAGAACTTCTTTTCTCTGAATGTAATATTCAATTTAATAAAAATATACTTGAACCTTGTGCAGGCCTAGGCCATATCGCCAATGTATTCAAAAACAAAGGTTATAATGTTACTACATGGGATCTAATCCAAAGATCTTATCCATTAGATAAACAACAAGATTTTCTAAATCAAAATGAAAAATTCGATGGTGATATAGTTACTAATCCTCCTTATAATCTTGCTTATGAATTTGTAAATAAATCATTAGATATGATTTCTAATGGAAATAAAGTAGTCATGCTTCTTAAACTTACTTTCCTTGAAGGTAAAAAGAGAAGAAGACTATTTGATACTAAACAATTGAAAAATGTTTATGTATTTACCAATAGAACTGCATGTGCCAAAAATGGTGACGAAAAAGAATTTGATAAAGGTTCTGCTGTTGCTTATGCTTGGTTTGAATGGGAAAAAGGTTATAACGGTTGGCCAACTTTAAAATGGATAAATGGCGATAAGAATTCTGGGATGACTGAATTCTTCGGTTAATCGTAAACATATATTTACATAACTTTAAATGCTCCAGAATAGTTCCTGGAGCATTTTTTATTATTACCATATAATTTATCGCCTAATATATTAAAATAGCCCAGAGAGCGCTTTCTGAGCATTCCTAGACGTCTATATAGGCATTGTTAAGTATACTTATATATTTATGTAAACTTCTTTTTACATATTCCAGGGTTACCAAAGATCCAATATTATGCTATATTTTACTTGTTAAAAAAGAGGTTAAATATGATAGCTTATTTGATTCATCCGAAGGGTCGCTCTGACTGGTGGGTTGCTGCCGACAAGAAATATGAAGTTGCTGTTGGCAACGTAAGGCGTAACTATTCAACTTGCTTCGATGAAAAATATGCTATGCGTTTTGAAAGTGAAGCAGCTGCTCGTGAATTTATTAACACAATGAATGACAACATCGATCGTCTGTGCTCTACTATTGTTGCACGTGACGAATAATGTTTATTAAAGGTTAAATAATGTTGGATCTTCGTAATCGTAGAAAATTATTGGCTGCTAAAGGCTTCGGTGTAGATTCTGGTAAAGAGTATGGAATGTTCATTTGGAATGAACGGTATTATCTATATGATATTTTACTAAAACTGCCAAATGTACCTGAAATTTTAAACACTAAAACTGGTGTACCAGATTTTGATGGAAACTTTGATGGTTTTGTAATTTATGCTGATCAAAGCAAAACTAACTTTTTAGGTGCTGTTCTAGATTACGCATACCAAAAAAAGGATCAAATTTGTATTGAAAGAATATATGTTTATTATCAATATGAATTACAAATAATTGATCCTGATGACGGTAGTATGTTTGCACCTAAAGGATTTCAAGTAATCTTTATTAAAAAGCCAGGATATAGTCCATTAAGTTATACTTTAGATGAAACTGAATTCGATGAAATTATCGATCGATACAAAAATCAAATTAATAAACTTGAAGAACTAAAACTAAAAGTCGCTAAACAAATTAAACTGTGGAGTATTTAAATGAAAATGAATCCATTATCAGTATTAGGTAATATTTTTATTCGAATAATTTTTATTTGCGGTATGCTTCATATCGTTAATGTTACTGATTTTAATTCTTGGCGACATTGGGTAGCAGTTATCATCGGATATGGTTATCTTGGTTCTATTGTTTCTTCTGCTTATCTTGCTAAAGTAAAAGAAGAATTCTATTTGGCAATGTTACAAGATATTAATAAACGTTTGAATACAATAAAGGCTGTAATTAAAGAAGCAAAGGAGAAAAAGTAATGAGTTATTGGTTTGACGTATGTTACGATTATTCATATCATGAATCTATTTTCCGTAATCATTTTAAGGAAAATGTTAAAGACCTTCCTGAAGATGAACTTTCTGAAGAACTTGCAAAACTAGAAAAATTTGACAGATTTGGTGAAGTTCATTCTGAACTTGTTGCCAATAGTGTTGCTTATGTTTTAGCTAAACGTTATGACGAACATAAAAAATTTCTTAAAAAAATATCTTTTATTAATGATGACGTTAAAGATTATTTTAATGAATGTTTAAAGAAGTATCTTTTCATAAACATGATTGAATTATATAATTATTATGAACCAGATTTTAAAGACATTATGCGGGGTGAAACTTGTAAGTCTGATAAAGCTGCTGTTGCACAACTTAAACGAATTGAAGATAGACAAAAATTTTGGCGAAGACTAAAATCTCTATTGCAACATAAGTTTGTAATTACTTCCTTGAAAGGAACCGCTTATGAAAACATCAATACGGATTTGGCTGAAAAGTGGTTGACTAAAGCATCTGCAATTTATCAGAATAAAAATAATGAGCCAATGGATGTACTAGATAATAAGGTAGATAAGTTGGCTAAGATTATTGGTATTTAAACAACATAAGATGAAATGAAAAAGGAGAGCTTCGGCTCTCCTTTTTTTTATTCTTCATGAGTAACTGGTTGCAGCGACATGTTTTCATAATCAAAAGTAACTGCAAAAGTTGCTTCATTTTTTACACCAGTTTCTAGACTTAATGAACCTAAGTTAGTAGGAATACAATCAAAGAATTTCATTTTAGAAACCATTACTTTGTCATTATTTAATAGACAAACTTCGATACAGTCTATTTGGTCTAATCGTAATAATTTTTCGCCTTTAAGAGTTTCTTTACCGATTGGATTACCAGCTCTCATATTCATTAGCCACATCCAGAAGTAATAATAATTCTTACCTTCTTCATCCATTTTAAATTCGAAATTTATTGTTTGTAAATCTCTAGCACCACGTGGATTTGGATGTAATTGTCTTTCATGACCCCATTCTGATGTTAACATAGTAACAGTTAAATCTGGAATGTTAACTGTTTTTATGTAATTATCAAGAATATGTGAATCTAGTTCTAGGCCTGTAAAATCGACCATATTGGAAAATCTTACAATCCATTTGTTTTTATTATAATTGTTAATACTTTGAGTTATACCAGCCATAATTAAACCTCACTAATAAGATAATATTCTAGAATTTTCACCAATTTTTAATAGATTAGCGTACATAGCACCTGTCCAGAAGAAATTCTGTTTTACATCAATTGTATTTTGTGCAATAATAACACCTACGTTATCTTCTGAACTAGTAGTTGCAGCTGCGGTAAAATTATTTTCAGCATATAACCATAATGACATAGTATCTTCAATACCACTATTGTTTGTTAAATTAAAGCCGTTACTAAAGCTAAAATTCTTTGCATATATTCTTACATATTTCATACCTTTAGATTTAGTACAATCATTAATAATTATGTTAACATTTGTATCAAATACAAAATCACCATTAAAGTGATATTCTCCAGGTTCGAATGTAATAGTACAATTGTTACCACCAGTAATACTTCCTAAGTCTAATATATTACCTTTAGCATCAAAATCCATTCGTGGTCTATTAGTTGTTGGATCGATATATCCATCTCTATTTATATCAATACTGCCACTACCTTTATATTCAATACTTTCTTTAGGTAATACAGGTAAATCAGTTAATGCAGAATATGTATAACCACCTATAGCAGAACCGTTTGACTGTTCAACTCTATAATTTGGACCATTTTCAGATGCAGAATTAAAATGTAAAATTGTTGGACATGTGTCATTTATTACAAGTTTACCACCAGTTGTATAAGTTATATTTGTACAATCTTCAAAATTTTCTTCTGGTAATGAATCATTATAATATTGTTTTTTAGGAATTGTTGGAGACCATTGACCTCCATCATTATTATTTAATTTCATCATTGCCACATTTTTATTATCTTCCATGTAATAATCACCATTGCCTGTAATATAAACTTCAGCAGCAATTTCACTATTATTCCATGCACGTAATCCTGTACATATAATATCTTTAATACCAATATAAGCTTTATCTAATGATATAAATCCATTAGTAAATAATACATATTTAGAAAACAAATTATCATATTCATGTGGAATAAATGGTTTATTATTTAATGTCCATTTATGGTTATCACTATTAGAACCATTCATATTATCCCAACCAGCATTATAACCTAAACTAAATTTTATACTACAATCTGTATATTCATCATCTAATGAAATTGATATTTTTGATATATTAAAATTGATATAACCATTACTTACGTAATTTTCAGTATCAAAAGAACTATCTATTATTTCACCAGAATTATTAGAAGTAATCAATTGTAAATTTGATTTAAATTTAGCAATATCAGCTTCTTCTCTAGGATGTTCCCAACACCATACATCAATTAAACGAGTATAACCTTTTACTTCATCTACAGACTCTAAGTATTCAACCATATGTGTTGAATTATTTTCATATTGATAAAATACTTTGTATGTATCACCATTTTCATCTTCAAAATCAATTAAACCTTGTTTATATGGATTCCATACAGTAACTCTAATAAAACCATGATCTTCATCATAATCAGTTTCTGTACTCCATGTTCTTGTCAAAATATGGTCATGATTAGTTATTCTTGATGGATATATAGGTAATATAGTATTATTTTCAATTAATTGTTGTAAATCTTTTGTTACAGTTTCAGACTCATTATTTTTATCATAATAGTAACATAATTGTTCAGACAAATTAGGATTTTTTCCATAATCATCCCAAGTATCTTTTCCCCATTTAGTTCTATCATAATTCATACTACATTGTATATTCAAATCTGTAGTATTTGGTCTTATGACTAAATTTGCTGTAGGTGGAGGTGGAGGTGGAGGTTCAATTTCTGAATTTTGTATTTTTAATTCAAATATAACTTCATTACGAGCAAAGCCACCTTCTGGTTGATTTAAATACTGTCTAAATTTACCATAATACATTGGTGAAATATAAGAACCAAATGGATTAACTTCTATTCTATCAGAATCAATTAATTCGTAAGGTATATTTTTTATTTCAGAAGTTTCATCATCATGAATATAACTAGATACTTCAAAAACTTCAGTACCGCCTTCAGTAATCCATGTAGCTGTAACAGCGCTAACATCAGATACATATAAAGGAGATTTAGTTAATGATTCTCCTCTATCATTAACTGGTCTATTATTAAGATATATGTCACCTACAGTATTATATTTTATATTACTGTATGGTATTTTTTCTGGTTCTTTTATTAACTGATCATTATTATAATCAAAATCTCTACGAATATTATAATTTTCGTTATATAATATTTCTTCAGTTTCTTCATTTAGATTGTATGGTAGTACTCTCTCAATATATGGTGAATATCTAGATTTTATAGTAATTGGATCATCTGATAATCCATTTATATAAATGTCTATTTGACTAGGATTAAAACCAATATGTTCACCTGAACCTAAAGTAGAATAACATTTTGTTAATAATTTTGTTTCAATGGTATTATTATTAACATTGAAAAACATAAAATTATTTTTTGAATTTTCAATAAATGATTCTTCAAGCCAACAAGAATAATCTGGATTGTCTATTTTTGTAAGGCCACAGTTTTCAATTAAATCAGTATAATTATATGTAATGGTAGTACCATCTAAAGAATCAGTAATAATCATGCATGTATTATTATTTAACTTAGAATATATGTCTTCATCACATATAATTTTAGCATAATACGCACTTAATGTAAAATTTTCTTCTACTTCATATTTCATATTAACCTACCATTTCATATCCATATGAAACATTGATTCTTATAACTGCTACTTCATTTGGCATAGAGAAGTTAACAATATTATTGTTATCGTCTAATATATTATCACAGAATGCAGGTTTAACTAAAGCATACAAATCTAAAATTAAACAGCTTAAAGCTTTCCACCATTCTGATTCCATTGAAGTTTTAGATGTAATATGTTTTTTATAATATTTCTCAATAATTTGTGGAATGAAATACATCCAGAATGCTTTTTCTGAAATTGTATTTTCATATTGATTTTGT